ACAATGAAGAGGATCACATGCACTTAACCAACAAACAACATGCGCACACACCCAAACACACACCTAACTCGCTTTTAGTTACAGAACTAAATGCCAGGTTATTTACAAGTTCACCTCTTTCAACAGCTTGTAAAAACTAACAAAAATAATTTATAGTAATAGGAAGCCAAACAGGCAAACGGCCATCATCACAATGAAAGATAGGTTTAAATTATACAATTTTTAAGGCCCGTTCATACCAAAAAGCGATAACTATAAAGTTTAGACTATAAATAATCTATAATCTTTCTAATTCTATGAGAATAGCAAAGTTCACACCACAACTATACTATAGCTATTTTTTTCAACTGATGAATGATAAAAAGATTGACAGCAGATCAGAAATCATCTTGCTTTAAAGAGCTTAATGTTTAAAGCGGCAGATGACAAAACTGCAAAGAATGACTATAATGTAATTTTTACTGTATGAAAAAAACAGCAATGCTTAAATGCCTTTTTAGTAAAGAAATTTTTTTTATTAAAATGATTCTCAAATTTGGAATTATATAATAATTTGGTCAGTTCAAGTAATTTGCATTAAACTTAAATATTTTCATCTACCCACTCTCATATTTTTGAATGACCTTTTCCTATGGAAAACAAAAGCAATTGTTTTAAATGCCGCTTACTCATTTATGAGAAGGAACCAAGTAGAGGACACATTCGCAGTTACTTTTTTGGTTGATATAATCCTTAGGTGTGTAAATATATAATTGCCTTTTCTTTATTTTTTTCAGTTTTATTTAAATTTGTAGTTAAAATAATTAAAAATAAATGTATTTTAAAGTTTAGAATTAGACAGCCTTTGCAATCACCCCTGGTTTAAACGCTCAATTGTGAGGTTTATCATTTTATTATTTATTTTGTTTTTGTGAAAACCTGTATCTCAACTGTACATCAGTTGCTATTTCGTGGTCTACAACATGAAAGAAAGCCATTATAACATATACATGAAAAATGTAGAAACATTGGACACAACTATGGGGCACCATTGTGCAAGTCAAGTTTCAAGTTTCAAGTCTGCTTTATTGTCAATTCTTCCACATGTACAGCACATACACACAGAGAATTGAAATTGCGTTACTCTCAGACATGAAAGAAAGCCATTATAACATGCACATGAAAAATGTAGAAACATTTGACACAACTATGGGGCAGCATTGTGCAGCAGCAAGCATCACAACAAAAAAGGAACTTCAAGGTTGATGTAGGAAAATGTGTGCAAATATATAGGGCCCCATTCCTATATTTTGCCTGGGGCCCCCAATTCACTAAATCCACCCCTGGTTGACAAGCTACAGTTTCAAAGCTTCCCGACATGGCCTGTGTTCTTAACGGAGGGTAAATGAATGCCTGATCTAAGGGCAGGGGACAGTAGCGAAGACACACGGCCGGCTGATGTGTGTATCCCTGACAGAGAGACAGATTGTGCTGTGTATCACCGCAGACTTCATCAGCTGCACTGAACTGATGATATATGTGAGACGCTGAAGGTGAAGAGGCCTCTCTCTCTCTCTCTATGTGTCTCTACACCCCCATGAACTGGTCGGCCGTGTGAAGAGAGAAAGAGGCTGCCAGCTACACAGCCTGACTGATTGCTACAGATGCTCTTCCTCAAGTACCGCGAGTTACATCCTCGCCACAGCAGGTCTTCGGGGACAAACAATAGCACCTGTTCCTCATAAGATGGGGCTCGTTCATGTATCTTTAATGAAGCTTTGGGGCAGATGGCGGGAAATGGCATTATCCCATCCTCCGGTTCTAAGGATTTGATAAGACAAAGGGCAGATATAGGAGGCAGGCCTACAATGAGCTGAGTTTATGAGGTTCAGAGCTTCCAGAGGCCTGAGCTTTCCTCCTCACATCTGCGCCACTTCATTCTTTCACGCTCTTGAAGATCTGACTGGCAATACTAATGCTGCAGGCAGCCAGCCGCCTGGCACACTGACGGAGGGAGGGGCAAAATATCAGGGCACAGATACACAAATACGGGCGTGCATGTTCATACATACCATGCATACCATATACATATGTGGATCAACTTCTTTGACTATACAGTTTACAATGCAATAAATACATTTGTGTGAACCAGACTGCTTTATGAGGCACAATACAAAGTGAAATTCAGTCGTTTATGGTGGCGGAGCAGCATCAGATGATTCTATTAAGGAATATCTGTGTTTTAATTAATTTCAATCAATTTATTAATTAATAAACATAATAAATTAATAAAAAAATAAAAATATAATTATTAATAATTTTGTGGTAATATAAATATGTATATATAATTTGTTAAGAATTCTTATTTTTGGTTGTGTCTATCAAGTTCTGGGTTTTAATTCATTTTATTAAATGCTTCTATGAATGGATAAATATGCGAAATTAATAAAATAATAAATATAGAAAAATATCAATTAAATATATTCACATTTCTAGGAAAAATTATTCAATAACATTCAATTAATATGAATGATAATATTAAGAATAATTAAATAATAATTTTATATTAATAGTAACTAATATTTATATTAGTTTATCATAGTTATCATTTTATATTTTATATACATTTTATAATAAAAACAATAAATCTATTACTGATTTCTACTGTTAGTTTGGTATAAATTTTCTCATGTGTAAGCATGCATGGATGCAAGCATGTTGTGTATATAAAGACACAGAGCGACAGACATAGAGAGACAAATAGATCCAGTGAATAAGAGACTGACGCATATAATAAGCGAGCTTCAATGCAGAATGCAATATGCAATTTATCAAAATCCATCTTTCTAAGTGCAGGCACTTTATTCCATTCTCTGTCTATTAGCAGTCAAAGCAAATTGCCAGTGATCATCTCTAAATCTTTATCTGCATTGTCTGCTCAGCTCTACCAGTGTACGTTAATTGACAGGCTTGAAAGCTAACCTTCACTATTAGTCCCCACTTTAAGGACGCTTATTTGATTTGCCACTCACAGATGTGGCGTGTGTAAATTAAACTTTAATGTAAAGGCCTCATTACTGCAAATCACGACCTCTCAAACTGAGGGCAATTTATCTGTTCGTACCTTCCCTTTTTCTCTTGCTGTTTGCACCTTTTGAAACAGCATTAGGGGAGTCTGTCTGATTAGCGGAGTTATTGTTAGCATTGTTAGTCAGTTTGTTTGTTTCAAATGATGTCTAATTCTAGGTTATTTTAAATGATTTAGATTTGAATTAAATAAGACATTGATGATATATTTTAGGAACAGATGGGATAAAGCATGGCAGACCAGGTGTTTCTGTCATTGTACATGTGAGCCTCTGTGCAGGACTATGCGAAATGACATGTTAAGGAACAGTTGTATTTTGGTTCCACTTTAAATGCAGCTGTTCTGTGTAATACTGCGGCTTTAGACTGATTCGTTTTGCAAGGGTAATGTGAATAAGGCTAATGGCAATTATGTATGTGACTGACCTTAGCGGCCCTCTGAAGGAGAACAATTTACATGGTCAGGGCCATTTTTCTAAAGCACTTAAATGTATCTGAGGTAGTATAAGACCGTAGTTGGTGACTATTTATTTATCTTTTCAATGTAATAGCCCCTCTCACTCCACTTTCATTTTGATTCACCTCACATGCAAGTAACCCATTTCCACAAACACATCCATGAGGTCATGTTAAAGAGCATTTTTTGTCACACATGTAAAATTAAAAACAAAAACACGCAGTTCTTTCACTTCGGCACAGTCTCAACTCTGTAGATGCACTTTTTAAAGTGCAAAGCTCTGTAAATGGAAAAGTGCATTTTTTTTTCTATTTATTTTTGCTTAGGAGAACTCACTTAGTCCGAATCACTGAAGTGGACCTGAACACTTGTTTAGCACCTGGGGAACAAGCCCTACTGATCTCTAACATTAGGCGCTTAAGAGGCGAAAGCGGCATTAAAAAGACGGAGATCGCGCAGACCTCAGCGAGAAATGCAGAGCAGAAAGTGGTTTCTCAGAGCAGGTTGATTTCATGCCCCAATGCTGCAGCGGTAATTGCGTCCAGACCGGTTTTTATTGCAGGCTGATTTTAAAGAGCGATGAATGGAGAAACATTCTATAATGTGTTTATTTTGGGGGGGCCGACCTTTATTAACCCGTTCTCCGGTTGGGCTCCCCAGAGGTGAGCCGGCTCGACTGCATTAACTCTGCCCTGGCCCACGGTAGCGCCACTGCAGCCCATCACCCACAGGCAGGAAGCAGAGAATGACAGCAAGATTGGGTCCGGCCAACACTCCGCAAACATGTGTTTTCAAACTTCGATGGGAAGCCGCTCAGATCCCTAAATACACACAGACTCTCTTTTTCTTTGTCTCTAGTTCAGCGTGTCTGTTTTTGCTTTTACACAGAGCTAATGCTATCCTTATGCACGCCATTAACGTTCTCTCTATTTTGCAATAAAGCAGGAATAAAGATGTTTGAGAGCATTTGAAAGGCACCACACGCGATGCCAGGTGTTGACGTTATACATGAAATATCAGAAATGCACAAGCTTTTGGGCTCATTCCATCTTTTTCACAGCTGAAAACAGGTGCTGTAAATTACCGGCCTCCCTTGGGCATTTATCATGTATATAAATGACCTTCCAAGAACAAGAGACAAGAGCCGTATTTCTGAGAGGATCCACATTTTCTGTCAGTCTCATGATTAAGTTTTATTAGGAATGTCTACCTGACATTTCTGTTTCAATCTAGTAGCGTACTGTATGTAGATATTACCCAAACAACCTTAATACGCTGTTTATGATACAAATAAGAATAAACACTCTACTGTTTATGTGTGTGCGATAGCCACTTTGAAGCGCTAATGTGCGATTGGTGGGCATTAAGTGCAGGTATTTGGTGAGCGTGTGTGAGATGGATCGGGGTCAGAATATGAGCGGTGCTGTCAGGCTGTGCTAGGCTCCCGTGTGATCTCCTCTCTCTCTGTGTTCAGCAGGTCCAGGGTCACATGCCTCCGCTCATGATCCCCATTTTTCCACATGACCAGCGCACTCTGGCAGCAGCCGCGGCAGCCCAGCAGGGCTTCCTCTTCCCCCCAGGCATGTCCTACAAGCCAGGTAAGAGAGAACACTTCAGCTCCTTGAGTTTCCTCTACACATCTTTATTCCTCTTGCTCCTTGTGCACTTTCCTGGTTTATCCTAACAATCAGTAAATTATGACAGAATTTTCATTTTTGCAAAACTACCCCTTTAAACATTGAAATAGTTTAATATTAGTTGTCAGGATAAAAAAAATGGATGATAAACACAACAGCCTCACAACTGTCTTTGAGGGGAGACCATAACAATTTCTTTCCTGGCTGTCTTTTATTCTTTTATCTGTGGTATGTTTTTTCTGCTTCACCAATCTTCACTGTACCTCAGGGGAATATACGGGCCACTTTAAGGCTTTCTTTGCCTCCTCACAACTTCCTCAGCACACATTTTATCATCGCTTGATTTCCCTGACCAAATCATCACAATGTTTTTAAAGAGCCCAACCTTTTGGATTCAGAGAGCAGAACATCAAGCCCTCCTTGTCAAGGCAATTAATTCTGAACACTGTGAAGTGTATCACCTCGGTGAGGCAGCCTGTTTTGGCAGAGTTCAAGGCATTTTTCGAGCCTTCAGAACAATGGATGGCGTGAATGAGGGCTGGAATATAAACACTGTCAGCATGAAAGGTTTCAACTTCATGGGTCATAATTCTGCTGAGAACACGTAATCCATGCCCTTGTAAAATGTTATTATATACATTTATATATTATTCACATTTAGAACTGTCACTTTTGTGAGGGATTTGTCATTGGCACTGATCTGTAGATACTAAAAGCTGATAGGTCATACTAAATTAGCAATTTATCACTATCTCTAATTATTTCTGTTTTTTACAAAAAAACAAAAAAAAACAGGAAGGTGACCTATAGGAGTGCACATTTTTCATTTTGGAAACGAAGGGCCTCTGGTGAAGGAGCCATCATACTTGTCTTTACGCGTCTTTTTTCTCCTTTTGTGAAAAAGAGAAGTGCTCCTCACGCAAGCACTGTAAATTCAAAAACAAATTTGTAGGAAATTGCTACAACATGCAGGCTGACTCACTGCCAGTATCCCTCACCCTCATATCCAGCCATTGTTCTGAGGTTTAGGGATGTGCCAGTCTAAGTTTCTGTAATTAAACCAAGTATATTCCTGCCTCCCAAGGGATCAGTAGCATTTAGTTAAATTTCCATCATTCTATCATTTTCCCCTTATTTTCCCCCTCTTTTCTTTACCACAGAGGACTGTTGAGAAAAATAAAAATGGTCATGTAATGATTTTTCAGTGTAGCTGCTGAGGTGTGTTAGTAGAGCTGTAGGAAATGAAAACGAACATAAATTAAGAAGACAAAAAGTTGAATGAGAAATATCGAAGAAGAAAAAAAGAGAAATGATCAGTGCAGCTCGGTAAAAAAGCTTTCCTTTTGTCTTCAAAGTATGCCTTGAGAAACCACGTTTGTTGTCAAAAGACAAATATACAAGAAAAGAGATAGAGCGCTAGACAGAGAGACTGATAAGAGGGAGGAAAGCTTCAGAAGTCAGCAGGTGAGAGTTAGATTATTACAGGGTGTGGTAGAGCAGCTAATAAATTAACTAAAAAGGTAAATGATGGAACATAAAGTCAGCTATTTTGGAACTACAAAGGCATGACAGGTTGAACAAAGAGCCTGAGGGCTTTCTTTTCCCCAGTTTGATTTTTTAATGTGTTTGACATGGAAAGTGTTTTAGTACAAATAACAGCAGCTGTAATGGAATCCTTGGCATGTGTAAAGAACTTGCATTATTCATAATTTGTGACACAGCGGAGGGGAGAAAGCTTAGGACGTAGCTTATTGCCATTAGTGCGCATGACTCGACTTATTGCCACGGATAATGTGATAGGTCTCATTGCTGTTTGTACTGCCCAGCATGGGGCAGCGTGGGGCGGCCCGGCCGGGCTCAGCGCAAGCGGCCAAGGCCCGATGCTGATGGCCCTAACCCTGCAGTGAAACAGCAGAGATCCCCTTTCTCACACACTGTGCTCAATGGCTTGGGCTTGGTATAAAGAGAGGACTCGGGTCATTCTTTACTCAAATAGACTTGTGGAGGATAGTGGTGATCCCCCCCGTGCAGACATGAACACATAGGTATTGCTGATCGTGGATGTTCACGGCCCTTGGGACGCAATGAGCTCTCGAAACCCCTGCTGACGAAACCGCTGACAGCCAGTGATTGTACAGAACCTTGCCTGGTGGGCGCGTTTATGTCACAGAGAATGTGCGTCAGGCGTTTAGACATTGATACACTACATTAGCTATTGATGATCCCAGTTTTGAGCTGATATATATATCAGAGTCGTGCCCTGTTTTGAATTTAATCGAGAAATCCTTTTAAATTCCTGGATTTGAATTCAAATTGAATAGAAGTGGCAAACAGAAAGCAGAACTGCATTTCCAATTTGATAGATAGATAGATAGATAGCAGTTCAGAACATTTATTTCATTTTGAAAAATTCCAATTCAACAGCAATCCCAATTTACTCATAATTTTATTTAATTTTATTAACATTTATTTATTTGTTTGTTTGTTTATTCATTTATTGCCTTTTTATTTTGCAGAAGACTGGAGTGTAGAAAGGAAAGCGAGGCTAAGAGAAAGAGGAATAGGATATGGCCAACAGCTTCAGTCCACTGTGCCACAGCCCTGACCAAAGTATTTTTTTTTTCTTTATAAAAAAGAACCTTCGGTCTTGGCCTGGAGGAAGGGTCGTGACCATGGTAGACACTGAGCCCTTTAACAAAACCATTGATTTCAAAGAGAGCCCCACTCGGCTTGAATATTCCACATGCTTGGCTTTTGGCATCAGGTGGAGTAGACGTGAAGAGGTTGCAGAAGGAGCACTCTGCCAGCCTTTCCTTCCCACTTTCCTCCACCTTTTCATTAGCCTTGCAGCCCTCGCTTCTTATGGAGCACCGGCCCGCGTCAGTGGTAGTGGTGCCCTGTGCGAGACCCTTGGGTCCTTCCACTTAAAGAGGCCCTGTGCCAAGTTGGCAGTCCAAATTGGCCTCAATTTGCAGCATGATACCTGGCTGAAACAGAATACACTATGAAGCTCTCTAGCAATACCTTTTTTGAGAGAAAGCACTTATTCAGCAGTCCATGTAGCCCTTTTTAAAGAAAAGAAGACAGTAGAGTATTGTGATCTGAGCTTAGGAGGTTTGCCCCTTCCTGCTTGGTGTCTTTGCAAAGCTTGATTTGATAAGGCACCACTCTAATAAAGTGATGCTATCACAGGGGAATTACATGATGAAGTGCATGCTCTGGCTTGGGTTTTCTGGCCTGAAATGTGTAAGCCAACCAAATAGTTCTTCAGCCACTGTTGATTACTCTGGCAGACCATGCTACATGGAAATAGCTTTTAGTCAGTTTAGGTCAGTTTTTGTTTTAGTCATTGTTTTTGTCTTTTAATGAAAATATCCTTTAAAGTTAGTCAATGCTTCATCATGACTATAGAATCAAAGTTCAATCGATTATATATATATA